AAAAATTGCAAAAAATTTTTTTTGCAAAAAATCGCGCAAAAAAAATTTGGCATTTTTTTTTGAATAGACATGTATGTAAGGCATGTGATTTCAAATTTTGAAGGAAAACTGTAAATAACTTCAAAAAGAAAACGAAAAATTTGTTTTTGGTGTCGGTCGGTGTCGGTCGTTTTAGAACTTAATATAATAAGAAGGATATGAGGGAAATTGAATATCGCCATAACTTTCTGAAAAAAATTTTTTTTTAGCTGAGATTTAAAATAGTGACGTATTTTATGTTTTATTATCGGAAAAAAATAAAAAATTGCAAAAAATCGCGCAAAAAAAATTTGGCATTTTTTTTTTAATAGAAATGCATGTAAGGCATGTGATTTCAAATTTTGAATGAAAACTGTAAATAACTTCAAAAAGAAAACGAAAAATTTGTTTTTGGTGTCGGTCGGTGTCGGTCGTTTTAGAACTTAATATAATAAGAAGGATATGAGGGAAATTGAATATCGCCATAACTTTGTGAAAAAAAATTTTTTTTAGCTGAGATTTAAAATAGTGACATATTTTATGTTTTATTATCGGAAAAAAATAAAAAATTGCAAAAAATTGCGCAAAAAAAATTTGGCATTTTTTTTTTAATAGAAATGCATGTAAGGCATGTGATTTCAAATTTTGAAGGAAAACTGTAAATAACTTCAAAAAGAAAACGAAAAATTTGTTTTTGGTGTCGGTCGGTGTCGGTCGTTTTAGAACTTAATATAATAAGAAGGATATGAGGCAAATTGAATATCGCCATAACTTTGTGAAAAAAAATTTTTTTAGCTGAGATTTAAAATAGTGACGTATTTTATGTTTTATTATCGGAAAAAAATAAAAAATTGCAAAAAATCGCGCAAAAAAAATTTGGCATTTTTTTTTTAATAGAAATGCATGTAAGGCATGTGATTTCAAATTTTGAAGGAAAACTGTAAATAACTTCAAAAAGAAAACGAAAAATTTGTTTTTGGTGTCGGTCGGTGTCGGTCGTTTTAGAACTTAATATAATAAGAAGGATATGAGGGAAATTGAATATCGCCATAACTTTGTGAAAAAAAATTTTTTTTAGCTGAGATTTAAAATAGTGACGTATTTTATGTTTTATTATCGGAAAAAAATAAAAAATTGCAAAAAATCGCGCAAAAAAAATTTGGCATTTTTTTTGGAATAGACATGCATGTAAGGCATGTGATTTCAAATTTTGAAGTAAAACTGTAAATAACTTCAAAAAGAAAACGAAAAATTTGTTTTTGGTGTCGGTCGGTGTCGGTCGTTTTAGAACTTAATATAATAAGAAGGATATGAGGGAAATTGAATATCGCCATAACTTTGTGAAAAAAAAATTTTTTTAGCTGAGATTTAAAATAGTGACGTATTTTATGTTTTATTATCGGAAAAAAATAAAAAATCGCGCAAAAAAAATTTGGCATTTTTTTTTTTAATAGAAATGCATGTAAGGCATGTGATTTCAAATTTTGAAGGAAAACTGTAAATAACTTCAAAAAGAAAACGAAAAATTTGTTTTTGGTGTCGGTCGTTTTAGAACTTAATATAATAAGAAGGATATGAGGGAAATTGAATATCGCCATAACTTTGTGAAAAAAAATTTTTTTTAGCTGAGATTTAAAATAGTGACGTATTTTATGTTTTATTATCGAAAAAAAATAAAAAATTGCAAAAAATCGCGCAAAAAAAATTTGGCATTTTTTTTTTAATAGAAATGCATGTAAGGCATGTGATTTCAAATTTTGAAGGAAAACTGTAAATAACTTCAAAAAGAAAACGAAAAATTTGTTTTTGGTGTCGGTCGGTGTCGGTCGTTTTAGAACTTAATATAATAAGAAGGATATGAGGGAAATTGAATATCGCCATAACTTTGTGAAAAAAAATTTTTTTTAGCTGAGATTTAAAATAGTGACGTATTTTATGTTTTATTATCGGAAAAAAATAAAAAATTGCAAAAAATTTTTTTTGCAAAAAATCGCGCAAAAAAAATTTGGCATTTTTTTTTGAATAGACATGTATGTAAGGCATGTGATTTCAAATTTTGAAGGAAAACTGTAAATAACTTCAAAAAGAAAACGAAAAATTTGTTTTTGGTGTCGGTCGGTGTCGGTCGTTTTAGAACTTAATATAATAAGAAGGATATGAGGGAAATTGAATATCGCCATAACTTTGCACAGTGGCCGATTTCTCGAAAAACCTGGCCAAAAATCGAAAAATGATATGATTTCAACCAAAATTGGTATATCCATGTTTTTTGGGTTTCTGAATTCAAATTTTACATTGGTTGTGTCAAATTCAAAATGGCGGATCCAAAATGGCCGTTTAGATTTTAAAAAACTTTGCTGAAAATCGAAAAATGATACGATTTCAATCAAAATTGGTATATCCATGTTTTTTGGGTTTCTGAATTCAAATTTTACATTGGTTGTGTCAAATTCAAAATGGCGGATCCAAAATGGCCGTTTAGATTTTAAAAAACTTTGCTGAAAATCGAAAAATGATACGATTTCAATCAAAATTGGTATATCCATGTTTTTTGGGCTTCTGAATTCAAATTTTACATTGGTTGTGTCAAATTCAAAATGGCGGATACAAAATGGCCGTTTAGATTTTAAAAAACTTTGCTGAAAATCGAAAAATGATACGATTTCAATCAAAATTGGTATATCCATGTTTTTTGGGTTTCTGAATTCAAATTTTACATTGGTTGTGTCAAATTCAAAATGGCGGATCCAAAATGGCCGTTTAGATTTTAAAAAACTTTGCTGAAAATCGAAAAATGATACGATTTCAATCAAAATTGGTATATCCATGTTTTTTGGGTTTCTGAATTCAAATTTTACATTGGTTGTGTCAAATTCAAAATGGCGGATCCAAAATGGCCGATCCAAAATGGCCGTTTAGATTTTAAAAAACTTTGCTGAAAATCGAAAAATGATACGATTTCAATCAAAATTGGTATACTTACGTTTACTGGGTTTCTGAAATCAAATTTTACATTTGTTTTATCAAATTCAATATGGCGGATCCAAAATATTTGCTGGTATTATAAAATTGCGTAAATGTGTTAGAGCTTATTTTTTTTAAATTACAGACAGTGCTTAAATTTTAGTTTAAAGCGAATGCGAATGAAGAAAAAGTCAGTCTTTCACGTTCAGTTGCACCGCCGGCCGGTGCAACGCGCTGTCGGTAAACCGCGCTTAGTGAAATAAAAAGTGATACCAAAACTGCAGGGGCAGCTTGGGGCAACTGATTTCAATTAAAATGAATTAAAAATATATTCTAGTTTATGATAATACCAGGTAGATCGCGGATATCGGTGGATTTCACAACTATTTTCATGATTTACGTTGATAAAACAATACAAAAATCGTCGCCATGAATAGCGATGTTTAATGTCATTTTTTAAAAACTGTACGTTTTAAATGTGATTATAAATACATTCAACATATTTCATACACCTTTGTTAATAATTCCCAAAAAAAGATATTCAAAAATCTGCTGTATATTAGTATATTTTCACTATTTTAACTGTGACGAAAATTTATAGTTATGAAACGTTCTGAGTAAATCTCTGGCAAAGATCACTTTTACTTGTTCACATAATAAATTGGTGATATAAAAAGTGTAATTTTTTTTCGCAAAATTATGCAGTGAACCCTCCTTTATAATATTCAACAATAAAAAGTATAAATTTCTAAAAAAAATTTTTTGATTTTTGGCCAGGTTTTTCGGGAAATCGGCCACTGTGCTTTGTGAAAAAAATTTTTTTTTAGCTGAGATTTAAAATAGTGACGTATTTTATGTTTTATTATCGGAAAAAAATAAAAAATTGCAAAAAATCGCGCAAAAAAAATTTGGCATTTTTTTTGGAATAGACATGCATGTAAAGCATGTGATTTCAAATTTTGAAGTAAAACTGTAAATAACTTCAAAAAGAAAACGAAAAATTTGTTTTTGGTGTCGGTCGGTGTCGGTCGTTTTAGAACTTAATATAATAAGAAGGAAAGGATATGAGGGAAATTGAATATCGCCATAACTTTGTGAAAAAAAATTTTTTTTAGCTGAGATTTAAAATAGTGACGTATTTTATGTTTTATTATCGGAAAAAAATAAAAAATTGCAAAAAATGGCGCAAAAAAAATTTGGCATTTTTTTTTTAATAGAAATGCATGTAAGGCATGTGATTTCAAATTTTGAAGGAAAACTGTAAATAACTTCAAAAAGAAAACGAAAAATTTGTTTTTGGTGTCGGTCGGTGTCGGTCGTTTTAGAACTTAATATAATAAGAAGGAAAGGATATGAGGGAAATTGAATATCGCCATAACTTTGTGAAAAAAAATTTTTTTTAGCTGAGATTTAAAATAGTGACGTATTTTATGTTTTATTATCGGAAAAAAATAAAAAATTGCAAAAAATTTTTTTTGCAAAAAATCGCGCAAAAAAAATTTGGCATTTTTTTTTGAATAGACATGTATGTAAGGCATGTGATTTCAAATTTTGAAGGAAAACTGTAAATAACTTCAAAAAGAAAACGAAAAATTTGTTTTTGGTGTCGGTCGGTGTCGGTCGTTTTAGAACTTAATATAATAAGAAGGAAGTTTTGTTTTGTATGTGGATTGTTTGTAGATCAAAAACATCGTTTGAACTTAGAAAATAATAAAGCAGTGATAGATGCCTACAACGAGTTTTTCAAGCTTAATTATACCACCTCTGGTCGCTGGTATGAACCAGAATTCGTGTGTGCTTTTTGTGCATCAAAATTTAAGAAATGGAAAGCGAACAGTGATAAGGTTTAAATTTCTTTATCTTCTCCAATGATTTGGCACCATCAGCCTTACCATAGACGAAAGAATTGTTATTTCTGCGAAACGAATGTAGCCGGTCACCATTACAAGACAAGAAAAAACATAAAATATGCTGATGTTAAAAGTGTAACGAAACCAAAAATCCTGAACGAGGTAGATATGTCATCTCCAATTCATGATGATCCTGAAGCTGATGATGCTGAAGATAATTCTAAAGATGATAATCATGAAATTGAAGAAGAATATTTTCCCCCTGCATCAAAACCTAAAGAACGACATGCAATATCAAATATGAAATTTATGGATCTTATACGTGACTTAAAACTATCGACAAGACAGACGGAGATGCTCGGTTCTCGACTTAAGCAATGGAATTTGGTGGAAAAAGACTTTAAAATTACGCTGAACCGGGAAAATAATAATCGAAGTACTTTGGAAGAAATTTTCAAAGTGGATGAAGAAAATGAAAAGCTTGTATATTGTTCAGATAAATCTGCACTATTCGACCTTTTAGACTATGAATATGAGGCAAAATTCCTGAAATGTCCGAACAAAAAATTAAAAGTTCTCGAATTTAATCCATACTTTTCTAAAATGTTGTTAGTGTTGGTGAAAGTCTAAAAATCAATTATTATTGAATTTAATAAAATAGTTTTTGAATTACAACGTTTTTAATTTTTGACTTTAGAAAAAAAAAATTTTTTACAATGTACAATATTTATAAGTAGAATGCATAAAAATAACATATATATAATGATTTTTGAAGCTTTTTTGACGGGCTACACGTTGTTAATAAATTTCTTTTTTTTTAAATAACATTTGAGCTTGAAATTCAAGGTCAAAATGTTAATTTACGTTTATCTCAAAATCGGATTATTTAAAATTATTTTTAACTATCTCAATGGAAAGCTTGACTAATTTCCTACAAAACATGTAATTTTCAGAGTGGGATCTTTTAAAGTTTTGGAGATATTAATTAATTAATTAATTAATGTTTATAACAAATGAAATATTTTACAAACGAATAAAGTTACCGTAATTCTGAAGTTAGTAATTGAAAGTTAACGTAATTCCGCATCCAACGAGCCCTATATGAAGTATTTTGGATAAGTAGATTGTTAATAAACAATTAGTTAACATTGCAATTGTTTATTAACAATCTACTTATCTAAAATACTTCATATAGGGCTTGTTGGATGCGGAATTAGCTTAACTTTGAATTGATTAGTTTAGATTAACGATAACTTTATTTGTTTGTGAGATATTTCATTTTTTATTGTTAAATAACTAAAATTGAACAAAAATACTTCATATAGGGCTTTTGGATGCTTGTTTGTTAGTAAAAAATAAAATATTTTACAAACAAATAAAGTTATGGTAATGCTGAACTTACGAATTGAAAGTTAAGGTAATTCCGCATCCAACAAGCCCTATATGAAGTATTTTAGATAAGTAGATTGTTAATAAACAATTGCAATGTTAACTAATTGTTTATTAACAATCTACTTATCCAAAATACTTTATATAGGGCTCGTTGGATGCGGAATTACGTTAACTTTCAATTAATAACTTCAGAATTACGGTAACTTTATTTGTTTGTAAAATATTTCATTTGTTATAAACATTAATTAATTAATTAATTAATATCTCAAAAACTTTAAAAGATCCCACTCTGAAAATTACATGTTTTGTAGGAAATTAGTCAAGCTTTCCATTGAGATAGTTAAAAATAAATTTAAAAATTCCGATTTTGAGATAAACGTAAATTAACATTTTGACCTTGAATTTCAAGGTTAAATGTTATTTAAAAAAAAATTTTATTAACAGCGTGTAGCTCGTCAAAAAAGCTTTAAAAATCATTATATATATGTAAACTTTTATGCATTCTACTTATAAATATTGTACATTGAAAAAAATTTTTTTTTTCAAAAGTCAAAAATTAAAACGTTGTAATTCAAAAACTATTTTATTAAATTCAATAATAATTGATTTTTAGACTTTCACCAACAATAACAACATTTCAGAAAAGTATGGATTAAATTCGAGAACTTTTAATTTTTTGTTCGGACATTTCAGGAATTTTGCCTCATATGTATCAAATGAATGGCGACTTTTCATTGATGGTTCGACCACAAGTAAGTACTCTTCTAATATCATAATGAATCGTATTTATTAAATTTCTTACTTAAAAATCTTGAAGTTCAAATTTGTATTATTATTATTATTTATAGTTTTAAAAGCTGTGTTATTACACAATGAAAATAAAGTCCCATCAGTTCCACTAGCTTACGCAACTGACATGAAAGAAACCTACGAAATTTTAGAAAAAATACTTCGCCTTATCAAATACCCTCAACATGAATGGCAAATAGTGAGTGACTTGAAAGTGTTGACAATTTTATTTGGTATGCAAGGTGGGTACACTAAGCACCCTTGCTACCTATGTGAGTTGGACAGTCGTGCTCCGAATAGGTATGCAAAATCTGAATGGCCATCACGTCAATATTTCAAAATCGGTCAAAAAAATGTCTTGAACCCTCCACTAGTACGACCAGAAAATGTAATCTTACCCCCATTACACCTGAAACTGGGTTATATAAAGCAGTTTTTGAAGAAATTGAAATGGGACGGCGTAGCAATTTGTTATCTCAAAGAAGTTGTATTTCCCAAATTGAGTGACGCAAAGTTAAAAGGAGGTAACGTATGATTCTTGTTTTTGGAGTAATAACAGTTTATTATTTTTCTACATTTTCCAATGAATTGCTGTTAATTTCAGGAATCCTTAACGGACCTCAGATTTGAAACCTCATGCGAGATGATGTATTCCCCACCAAGTTGAATAAAGTGGAAAAACGTGCATGGAAAGGTTTTAAGTCATTATGTGAGGATTTCCTGGGAAATAACAAAAGCTCTAATTATGTTGATGTTGTTCACGAGTTTTTAAAAGCGTACGAGAAAATGGGGTGCAATATGTCTAAAAAGGTCCATTTCCTGCACTCGCATTTAAATTTCTTTCCGGAAAATTTAGGGAAACTGAGCGATGAGCAAGGTGAACGTTTTCACCAGGAAATAGGAACCATTGAGAACCGTTTCCAAGGGAAGAATTCCGTCAGCATGCTTGCTAATTATTGCTGGTCATTGAAGCGAGAAACAAGTGATGAATTGTATAAGCGAAAAAGGTCGAGTAAGCATTTTTAATGTAAAGCAATTTGTTAATATGTTTAAATTAATACTTGCAATAAAAGTAAAATTTTATTTTAAAGTTGAAAAGAAAAATTATTTTAAGTTTTAAGATGCAACATTTTATAGTCAATTCTTATTGATTCTTTTAATTTAAGTTGATTATAAAAACTTTTTTCCAGTCTCTTTAAATTTTTAAATTTAAAACAATATTATTAAGATAGCAGCAATTCTGCATAATTTAATTAGGGGAAAAAATTCTGAAATTTTAAAATTTATACTATTCTGTCAATTTTTGGCCAATTTTATTCCACAATAGCTCATTTTACGCGGAATAACATGTACTTTCAAACTGTTGTTTTGGAAAAAATCCCCGATATCGAAAAATAACCTAAAAACTTTGTCAAAGTTGACTAATTAAAAAAAAATCGAAAAATCGGAGATACTTTCAACTGCAGGCTCGTCAGTTTTTATTTTGAGTAAACAAGCAATACACGGTTAAAAAGGTGTGTTTTCCCCCTTTTAAACAAAAATAAAATTTGCAAATCGGTTAAGAATTGAAAAAGTTATGAATAATTTTTTACATAAAAACACCAAAAACCGGTTTTTTGCCCGTAAAATGAAATTTTGGGGGTGTTTGGGAAATTCCTGATATACCATCTTTTTTAGTACTACTAAAATTGGAATATTTAAAGTGTCAATAAATTGAAGTAATTATTAAAAGAATAATGGAGCCATAGTAATTACAAACATATTATTTATTATATATGTCATGAAAAAGATTTTTCTTACATCCTGGCACACAGCACATTTTAAAATAAACATTAATAATAATTATTAAAATAATAACATATAACCCCTTCATCACAACACGCATGGAAGACTTGAGAAATATACGTCAGCCAGATCTCACTCGCACACTTTTTGCGAGAGAAAGAGACAGCACATGGCTAATGCGCATGCTCAGCTACTTTGGTGGTTGAATAGAATGCAGTGAAACTGGCATTTATCGTACATGTTTTTCTGACATTTTCAGAAGCGCTACTACAGCAAGATCGGTCTCCTTACTATTCCTCCGTGGAATTTATTAAAATTAATCGTATACAATGTTTTTTTTACGGAAAGGAAATTAATTATTAGTATTGTTGTAAATTTCTCTCTTAGGGATTTTTTTAAGTAAATTATAAATTTTTTATTTTACTTTTAGTGCATTGATATTCAAGTTGATCAACTCGTCCTCCGGAAGTACAGTAGAAACCGGTTAATACGATTTCCCGCTTAAAACGCTCTTTTATGTTTGTCCCTGCATTTAAAGACACTTTTTCATACATTTTCTCACGTTTAATACGATTTGACTTCCCGCGTAATATGCCAATGCAGCACTGATACGACAGCTACCCGCTACTTTCTTTTGCCTTGATGACGCTAAAAATGTTGAAAACGAAACAGAAGAAGATGCTGACGAAGATGAACCAATTCCAACTTTGTCAAATTCTCAAGCTTTGACTGCAGTGAACGATTTACGACGTTATTTATCGTCACTAAGTGATGATGCGGGTGGAATTCAAAAATTAAATTACATTGAAAATGTTATTTTGTCTAATTCATCGAAATCTTTATCGCAATGAAAAATAAGTGTTTATTTTAAGTAATTAAAGTGACTAATTTAATTGTACCTGCCAAAGATGTAAATTCTTAAATAAACATGCATGATTTATGTATTTTTTTGCTTTCCTAACACGTTTTCCCGCATAAGACGTGTTCTTGACACGGTCCCTTCAGAATCGTATTAACCGGGTTCTACTGTATTACGATAAATCGTTAGAATTTCGGTTATATATTAAGCAGGTAAAATATATATGTTTATTACCTGCGGAATACTTAAAAAAAATTTGTTCATATCACCGACAAGTTAATGAAAAAAAGGATTATGTTCAAATACTTATTAAAAATATGCCAACCAAACTACGCGTGCCGAAGTTAGGACAACTTCACTATTATCAAGCAACCAAAGTTGGGCAAACTTTACCAGCCAACTATGGCATGCAGAGTTATGCCAACCGTTGGTCCAACTTAAGCCAGTGTTGGTCCAACCGTTGGAAAAACTTTAAGAGCTAAAATTTCAAATTTCTAAATAGTTTGGGTGGCACAACTCAGGCAGAAGGTTGGGCCAACTGTTGGCAAAACTTCAGAAGCCAGAGTTTCAAACACACATATTCATATGGTTAGCACAACTCTGGCCAAAGTCGGGCCGATGATCGGTTAAACTGCGGCAGCCAGAGTTTCAAACACACAAATTCTTATGGTGGGCACAACTCTGGCCTAAGTCGGGCCGATGGTCTGTTAAACTACGGCAGCCGCAGTTCAAAACTTATAATTTCCAATGGTCGGGCTGATGGCACAAAAAATCGTTCTTATGAATAATCTTGTTTTTATACTGTTTAATATTCTACTACAATATTCTAATTTTATGTAGGGGAGACTGGGGCAAACCGGCCAGGTGTTAGTTTCTCAGGAATGGTCAAACTTTAAAATATATCAATTATAAATTTGAAAAGACTATATTAAGAATAACTTATTTCTTCAGTTTGCCATTTTTTAATTGTGTTTATGCAATTTTATAAACAAAAGTTTGTTTTTTCGCTTCCACTAGAAATTTTTACGCATCTGTTCATAAACAATTTGTGAGAAAATCGTGTAATATTTATTAAAATTGTTTTTTAGGTTTAAAAGGTGCATGCCTCAGTTAAATTTATAGGTATATTATTTAATGATTTTACTAAGCATTTTTTTATACAGGTCTTAATTGTCAAAATGGTCCCGTGGAGTAAACCGGCCTGTCTGTTTTCCTTGCAACAGAAATTCACGAAGATTACCTATCGGCTAGAAAACTTCGTGCACGGTTTCGTGAATCTTTGTTCACTTTACGGAGATTTACGAAGTTTTACAAAGTTCACCGACAGATGTTTCTGTTAACAACTGTTAACATGGCCGGTTTGTCCCAGTTTCCCCTAATAATAATTTTAATAATAGTGATTGATAGTTATATCCAATTATTATTATTATTATTCCAATTACTTATAACAATAAGAATAATAATAATTAAATTTTATGAAGAGAAAGTCGGCCTGTTAGTCGCTCACAGTTGAGCCAACCATGTTTGGCCGAATTACACTTAAATTTTATAAAATTAAAGAAAACGAAGTATTAATCACGTACATTTTGATAATTGTATGGAATTACTTTTGGACTGAGAATTTACACAAGTTTTGTTGAAATTGCGAAAATTTATAGAAAAACATTACTCGAAAAAGATCTCAAGAAAATACTTTAAAAGAAAAATAAATAAACTTATCTTAAAATTTGAATAATTACTTTGTAATTTTTATCATTAAAATAATATTTTGGCCAAAGGATACGTAAACTATTTTTCAATAAATTATAGAAAATCACTTGCGAGAATTTAATTAATTTATTACATGATTTGATTTAATAATTTTGCGTATCACTGAGATTCGCGTATGAAATAAACATTAAAACATAATTATGCCGGCAGCTGGAATATGTGCTCCCGCCATTTTGAATAAACATTTAGGTTTTATATTTCACATTTCTACAAACAAAATTTAGAAAAAAGTCGAACCAAGCATAATAAAAGGAGCTCAGCTGATAAAATTTTAATTTTAACTCAATTATCTTAGTAAATGTATAAAATTTTGATGAATTTTCTTCTTTTTCGTATTAAACAGTCTCTAAGGCTTCAATATAATTTCCTCAAAAGAAAAAGACAGTTGCCTCGATAACAAGATGTACAAGAGTGTCTGATGTAGCACCAAAAATCGAAAAAGAAGCCTAACTATACGAAAGAGTGGAAACTGGCAGCAAGCGATGGAAATGCTTGCCGATGAAAGCGCTCGATGTTGATTGACAAAAAAAATTCCATTATTGGAAGTAGCGCGTAACTCATTCAAATTCAAATTTTCCGACATTCAAAATTAATGTTTTCGTTAATAATTTACAGAAGATTGCTATCCGATGTCCTCGCAGAGTAATTTCTGAATGGCCGATATCGATTAGCAAAGTTGGTTTTGCTGGTTTTGTTGCAAAAGTGTATTCACAATATCGTTAGCAGACGTCTCTGTCACTACCAATGGAAATTCAAAATGTCGGAAATTTCTCTGTTTTTCTCGAAGTGACGTAAAATTAACATGTAGTGTGATAATTATTATTGTTGTCTGAAATATTTATCAAAAGTTCGTAATAATCTCCAAAATTACGCAACATTACGTAACTATGTAAATAATTAGCCTTAGGTTTTTGTTCGTTTCCCCTAGAACTGAAAATATTTCAAAGAGACCTTTTACTGCGGCGCTGCAAGCTGAAATAATAGTATTTTTCTCCAAAAAAAGATTTACTACTATTTACTGAATAATTTTAATAAAGTTTTGTTAATGAGAGTAAAAAATGTTATTTTTTAGTGTTAAAAAATATATTTATAATAAATTTTAGTTATTTATTGAAATGGTTTTCGAGAGCGCAAGAGAATTAGTTTTATAAGTACATAAGAAATCAATTTATGCAAAAAATACTCACGGTTTTGTTAAAAATGAGAGGGCAAGAGCACATTATCAAGTTACGAACGTTTACTTTTTCTTTTATTCATTTTATAATATTCCAAAATGAAGGTGTAATATTTGGTCTAAAAGTTGTATATTTTAACAAAATTTAAAGGGTAAATTACTAACCAATGCAGCTCCTGCGTCGGTCACTTTCGGTACTATTTAATTATTTTTCACAATTTTGACAATTCAACAGTTGGTCGGTCGGTAATTTATGTGTAAATCGCAGTAGTTCCGAAAGTGACCGTTGCAGGCACTGCTACAACAACATACAAATAATATTGAAATAATCACTTACATAAAAAAACAATTAACAAAAAATTAATGCATTAACACTAAAAAAGACCATTCATTTCATATGGACACCTATAACTTTCAACGGTACAATAAATCCCGATACTAGACTCATACTTTCATAATTTCCCATACCATCCTAACAAAATCTTTACATTGTTGAATGCTTGACGGGGACAAAATTGAATGCCAAAACATACTTTGATTTGCAAATTTTCTTGATTGAGGGAAGAATTTTGCTTTAATATGTGTAAAATGAGGACAAACGTTAAGTACATGATTTAAATCCACACTTTCGCTGAAACAAAACATACATCGATCTGAATAAAAAA